CTGGGAAGGCAAATAATTGCCTGCATTTCCCATTTCCACTGCACTCGGCAGTGAACTGCAAACAATGCTTCAGGCTCTCCAGTCCCCGCCTCAGTTTCTTAGAAAAGTGTTCTGTCTCTCCGTTCCCAGACAAAAGGCGACGTGGCCACACACCTAGTTGGAAATAATGTACTGTCTTCAGCAGCACGATCTACGGGTCCAAAAAACAGTCCTATCTCCAAAACATCTCTCCACCAATTTTTTTCCAGGTGCCACGGCTGATGGCAGGGAGCAGTTGTAGCCGCGGGTGGAATAGATTAATGTATCATTTTCACTGTTATTAAAATTCTTCCTTTCGCAGAGTCTAACGCCTCTGAGGCCCAATCTAATTCTTTCTTTGCCCTGGGCCGGAACTCATGTCCGCAACTGATGGGTATCATAACAACATAGCCACGTTTTCTATTTATTCGGTGCCTTTCTCCACAAAGCTCAGGGCTTTTCATTATGAATCTAAACTTTATGAATATATATTTATATATGAAAGTCCCTAATTGTTTACATGTTTGGCTCTGCCACTCAATATGAACACCTCTGGGGTAGAAATCCTGTCTTGTTCACCTGTGTCTCCTTTGTACCTGACACAGCACCTGGCAACTAGCAAATCCTCCAAAGATTCTTGTTAAGTGGATGATGAAGAGTGAAAAAGATGCAGAATTATAAACTGAAGGTGCTGAAAGGCAACTTTGCCTCCCTCCCTGTGTAACTCAGGGCCAGTTCTGAAATGAATCATATATTACAAATGTGATACAGGGCCTAGCTGCGACAGTGATCTCTTCCTAACAATAGCTATTTTGCCCCTCTGATTATTGGCAATTATTCTTACATCTGAAATGCATTAGCTTATGAGCCACCGTGGCTCTGACCATAGATCACCTCACAGTGGCACCAGTTTAATAGCCAATGGGCAAATTCTTTTCCACTCCCAGGGAATCAGCGGTGATACACATGCCTCTTTCTTCCAAACATTTTTCAAGTAAACATTTTGATTCAGCCTAATAGTATTGAAGACAGAAATAGTTATGTTCACTATAGGTAGTGCTATTTCGAGTAATGTATTGCAGATGCCAATGCTAAAAATGTTTCCATTCGAGCACATCACTCTACGTTCCAGACAGCATGGCGATAGAAGTGAAACATCACAGGTGAAATTTAGATACCTACTTTTGCAGTCATCTTGGCCAAAAGCTCTTGTAAATCCATTATTCCTTGCACCAGGCTTAAGAAATCACTACAGGTTGGGCAGGCTCAATAAAGAAAAGATAACACCAATGTTGATACAGTGCTAATATTAAAAAGAACATTTTTAAAACAGTAGTTGTTTGGCTATGTAGAAGGCTTTTTGCTTTTGTGTTTAAGTGTTACTTTGAAACTGGCATAAAATCACAGAGGATTTCAGGTCTAGATTTCTCCCTTTTATTAATAAACCAACAGGAAGAAACAGGGGAAAAAAAGCCTGCTCACTGAAGAGGAAGACAGTATGACATTTTTAAGTTAAAATTAAACCCTTGTTTTTATTGAGAGGTGACTGTGAAAATGTAAATTATCATAGAAGAAGAAAAAGAAAACTCAAATCCAGGTCAAGCAGTTTAAAGAATAGTTTTTAAAGAAATTACAACATAAGAAACATAGTCAAAAATACTGTAATAACTATGTGAGGTGCCAGTTGGGTACTGGAAATATCAAAAGGAACACTTTGTAAAGTATGATTGTCTAACCACTATGCTATACACCTGAAACTAATACAAAATATTCAATGTAACTACAAGTTTTAAAAAGTTTTTAAATAAAAAAATGTAAAATATAGCAATAAGGTTGGCAACTATCAAAATTAGATGAAAGAAATAGCAATTCAAAAAAAGAATAGCTTTTTAAAATATGTATAATTATATTAAACACTAGTAGCCCTGCACACGAATCCATGCGCCAGTAGGTCGCTGCCGCCCTCCTGTAGCTCTCGGCCTGCTGCTCCGCCCTCCTTACCTCGCCTGCCCCCCTTCCCCTTTCACCCCACCCCCCATAGCTTGCTGCCCTGCCCCCTCCTGTAGCTCTCCGAAGCCCACTTGTATCTCACTGGCCCACCCTCCTGCTGATCCATGATCTGGTTGTGACGCGCTTGGTCGTTACGCCTCGGGGTGTAACAGCTAATTAGCATATTCCTCTCTTATTATACACTGAGTGGCCAGATTATTATGACCGGCCAGATTATTATGACCACCCCATCAGTACTTCATTGGGCCACCTTTTGCCTTCAAAACTGCTGCGATTCTTCTTGGCATTGACTCCACGAGATGTTGAAAGGTGATGCGAGGAATCTGACACCATGCCTGATGAATAGCACTGTCCAGTTCTGTGAGATTTGATGGCTGTAGAACCAGCTGCCTGATGGCTCTTTTAACTTCGTCCCACAAATGCTCGATTTGGATTGAGATCTGGTGATTGTGGGGGCCACCTAAGCAAGGTAAAGTCTCCCTCATGTTCTTGAAACCACTGCTGCACAATATGAGCACCGTGGCATGGCGCATTGTCTTGTTGGAAGAAGCCATCTCCATTGGGATATGCCATCAACATGATAGGATGAACTTGATCAGCAACGATACTTAGGTATGTTGTGCTATTCAGACGTTGTTCCACACGAATTAAAGGGCCCAAATCCGTGGTCAGCAAACTGCGGCTCAAAAGCCACATGCGGCTCTTTGGCCCCTTGAGGGTTGCTCTTCCTAA